GTTTTATAGAAAACACAGTATCCCTAATTGAGTGAAAAACAAGATTAACAAGAATTACAGCCTTTTCAAAAAATTTCTTTTGAAACTTTGCGTAATACTCGTTATTCCTCTATAAAAGATAAAAGCTTACGAGAAATCTTATATGAAAGGCTTTCCAGATGATTCTACAGGATCCAATTTTTGATTTAGGTGAAAAAGAGTACGCGGTCGTTCTACCAGCACTAGTTATCTATTGTCTATTGACATCAATCGGTCTATTTACTGTGTCAATTTTTATCGCATCATTGATTGAAACTAGAGATGTTCTTAAAGAGGTATGACAAAATCTACATACCCATGCTGTGAAAAATGTATTATATCATACTTATTTATCTTAAAAATTCCACTCTGATATTTTACAGTATCCATTCTTCATCATTGTATGGCAAGTAGCATTATCGAATGCACTTAACCTTGTAGCTCAAGCTACGTGTATAATTCCGTGCACTTTCTTGGATGCAAGAGATGGAGAATTATTAGTGTGGTACGTTGTATACTTACATTGCCTGCATTCATATCACTCAATAGAAGACATTTGATTTGCGAGTGTTGCAACTGTGTAGTAAGTCACATGTGTGCATGAATCATAATACTGCAGAGTTTATAAGTCGTTTAGAAATCTCGCATAGATGACAACCTCCATAGACTCCCTATGCAGATGGTTTGGTCCTGATATTGAAAAGAAGAAAGTTTTGGAGAGGATGTATGAAGATGAAAATGTCGTGAAACCATCGACATCATCACCATCGTACATTTTAATGTAAATAGCAGCGATATCTTTGCAATTTGATCAACCGATAGCTATTTACATATGAATATCGAAGTTAATTACATTCTCTCTAAAACCTTCTAATAGCTCTTGCGACCTCTGCCTAACCTGAGCTGAGAATCGAATAACGAAAAGAATGAAATCCGAAGAGAAAGGTAAACCTTTTAAGGAAATTCTAGAGCTGTTATCCTTCTGGAAAGCTTGCTACTGGTTCACATAGATTTAGGATCCCCAAGAATTTCTACATATCTAAATAATAAACCGTATAAAATTGTTTTGCTACAATCAGCCTTAGCGATAGGTCTCCGGAGGGTAAGCTGGAAATCATTTTTGGGGAGAAGGGCGAAGGGGAGATCGTTCGGGGTCCGAGAATCCGAGGGATTGCAGTTTCTTCTTTCTTCGCCTTATCTAGCGCTCACTCGTCTCCGACAGTTATCCACGAAACTACGTCTATAAGCCTTCCTCAAAGCTTGGGAGAGCAGTTGCGCGGGAAAATCAAAACATATTCTCAAAAATTCACTTAAACCTAATTTCAGGCGGATAGCCCATGAATGGCCTCCAAATGAACATGCAAGGAGTTTGAAATTGCTCTGGGAAGGTTACAAAGGGGACTTCATAATTTGTTTGATTTTTTGTGGATATTCCTTCTCGTAAGTTTCAAGCGGAAGCTTCGTGCCGAGGCCTTTCTACTATCGCATAAAAACACCAATGCAGGGTATAACAAGTGTTATGGCCTCCAAAATACTAATAAAACATATATCGCATTTCTCCAGAAGGAAAACTTCAGGAAGAGCTCTTAGAATAGTAATTAAGGGTGAATAGCATAAGGAGCGTATACTTAGATACTTAGATACTTAGATGGCCTGTCTTCACTTGTCGTGCA